ATTATGGCATACCTTTTTCGTCTTGCGGTTTGCTGAAAATGTTTTGAACATCACGCAAAGCCACATCGTTTTATCTGGTATGGCCTCAATGTGGTTGTATTTTGTTCTTAAGTAAATTGAACGCAAGTTCTTGATCGTGTAGTGTCGAGGTTATGTACCAATACGAGTACGAGAACTATTTATCGCCAGGAATACATAAAAAACAAAAAACAACCCTGTTGACCGGCACAGCTGATTAGCAGATTTCGCATTTTGTTGATAATTTTTGTATTTTCTCGCAATTTGGAATTAATTTGTAGTCACATTTTTAGTAACCAAAATGACTGCTGTGCCACCACCCTCGAATGTATCTACTTTGCTACCACTGGGTAAGTGTTCCTCAGCATATCAAAGAATACATTAACCGCTTGTGGCCCGCCTTTTAGAATTGGTGGACAAATGCATTGGTTCCCGCATACACATCATTATGAAGAACGACAAAGAAATGGTTGGTACTTTATTGGGCTTTGATGATTTTGTAAACATGTTGCTAGATGATGTGACGGAATATGAAAACACTCCAGAAGGCCGTCGTATAACCAAACTCGACCAAATACTACTCAATGGCAATAACATAACAATGGTTAGTATGATAAATGAAAATACATCTTTATTGCATTTATGATAAATTAAAGTACTTCTTATTTTGCAGTTAGTCCCTGGCGGCGATATACCAGAATAAAATTATGGAGAGCAAAATGAAAACAAGCTAACATTTGTTTAACTTTAAAACTAAGTCTTATTGAATACATTTAATAGCCATTTACATACATATGTTTGTATACTTATATCTTGGTTATTTTATTTCTTAGGATGCGTATATGTTTCCACTGTCTCGGTGTAGGTTTCCTAATTGCCCTTCATAAATTATATCGTTGATAGCTTTCTTAGCATAAATCTGTTGCTCCGGCGTCATTTTTTGCAGTTCCATAGCCCACGTCTCGGCCAATTTCAACTCATATTCTCCAAGTGGTTTCGGATTTGATATGTTTGAAGTTTTGGGTAGCGCCTTGTACTCTGTTCTTTCTATATGAGTATATTCCTCAGTTGGTGCGGACGAATCGTCCTCTTCAAGTACCTCTATATTTATTGGTTGTTCATCGTGATACTCGAGTTCAAATTTCTAAAAATATTAAATGAAAAATGCTTGGTAGCAGATATTGCAATGAAGCTTACCTGTTCCTTTGTAGCCACATCGCCGATCAAGAATTTAATTTCGTCAAAATACCATAATTTAGAGTTCTTACGACATTCTAGCACCATACTCTTTAGCTCTTTTCGGAAATTGGTTCTCAATGCATTTATTTTCTTGGTTACACCTTTACGACTTATATCTGGATATCTTTCCCGAAATTTGTTAACTAAAAATTCGTACGACGTATTCTTTGTAACTTTGTTGCGGTATCCTGGCGAACGCGGGTTCCATAACGCTGGGAGGGCCTTGTACACTTTGAGGCAACTGATAATAAAAGCGCGCTCCTCGCTTTTATCAACCAACGACATATTTTTCCAACCAAAATGCAAAATTTAAAAATGTATTGCACAATTATTAACTCAATACGAAATTATCGTTTTGCCCATTGCTAGGAATGTCGGAAAAACATCGATGATTTGCTTCGATGCATCATAAATTTTCCACTCGAGTATAAATAGTCGAAGTATCGATGATTTTTGGAAACTGAACATGAACCAAAAATACAAGATCACGCGGGCAGGAGAGTAGCCCGTTAGAATCGCATTTTGGGAAAAAGTTCAACGATTTTGACATTAGCCGTTTTAGATTTCTTCGTTATTTACAATTTGGTGGTGGCATTTTACTGCAATTTTCTTTATTTTCGCCCGTGGCAACGTGTGTACACATAAGATAAAGAATAATTTAACACAACGGCATGATTTATAGAAGAATTTGCATAATAAAAATGATTATTCATGCGTTCAACAATTTCGCGGTTTTCGCCGTTTACTTCTTACAACAAAGATGGCGTCGAGATTTCGGCAGCTAGAAAATAATTTTTTCTTTCTTTCCTTCCCGCGTGATCTTGTGTCTTCCGTTCTTAACAAAGAACGTGGATAGTCTAACGTAGGTTATCTACGTTCTTTGTATGTGCAGGTAGCGGGTTCTTCAACGTTTGAAAATACCCTTGGTTCGAGCATGTATTAAAAAATACTTAAAAAATTACGCATGTCAAAGTATTCCACTTATATAAAGCATTTTTATGAATAAGGGTAATATAAAGAATGTGATTTTTTTGCTTAAAACGCAGTTACAGGCTAACCTAATATTCACGCACGCCGCCAATTTATTGTCAAAAATTTCTCATGCACATGCAATTTGTATGAGATCAACCGAAATTGAACGGCGTGCGTATGAAGCTAACTAAATTTCCAATTTTTGTTCTGCGTGACATTTTGATTTGACGTTTCGCTCAATGAAATCAAATGCAAACGCATGCAAGTGAATTTCGGGTGACGCAAAAAAACAAATTCGACGGCATGCGTACCAAAACGCAAGCCGCGAATATTAGGTTAGCCTGTTATAAAATATATACTCTGCTAAAAGTAATCGAATTTATACCAGTTAAAAAACTTATCATCACCTGTAAATTAATTTGACATTTCGAATGCAACGAAACAAATTAACAGCTGATGGAATCACCGCCATATAAACAAAATACAGCAAAATCCTGGGCAATCAGGTGGTATATTTATGTAGAAAAATGCCAATTACCGACCAGGAGAAATTAGGTATAGTTGATTTTCTGGCAAAAGATGAGCAAAATGTACCGGCACTGCTGCAAGTGGCCAGAAGCGTGACAAAAAACATTTGCGACGTAGCAACAACGCAAGGTAATGTGGATGCGTGACTTGGTCATTAAAAACGATTGTTTTCTTATATTCCGTTTTAACTGCAGAGGCACTGGACTACGTGTATATACAAATTGGAGATACACTAACGCTGCCAAACAAACGGGCTATAACAAGAGAAATGCTTTTTAAATACTTACATCAACGTAAAATTCAAGTCAATGCAGATTTCACCAAAGGCGCTTTAATAAGTAGAATTATTGAATATTGGAACTCTAAATTCGAGTATAACAATGATAACTCTTTACCTAATACCACTACGAGCATAACAAGATTAACCAATGTGACTGAAAATAATACAGCCACTAGCATCACGACTAATCTTAGCACATCACAACAAGAGAATGAAACTCAGTATCCCATTCATTTACTGGCGCGACAGTTTACTGAATGGTTTTTTAATAACCTAAATAAACAAACTGTAAAAGCAGATGATTTTTGGTCAGATTGCCAACTACAGTTGCGAATTGCCGCTACCGATCAAATGAATGATTATGAGTGTACAGGTGCAGATGAAGTAATCTTTACGCTTTTAGGTTCAAAAGAACAATTTGGCTTCTACTTCAATCCGAACCTCACGCATGCTGGTGTTCAAGGTCGAATGAATGTGCATGGTCTAGTACTGGTATTGGCATGTGGTACACTTCACACAGAGCAAAATTGTGTAGGCGTATTTGAGTGTACGTTTGGCCTATTGCGTGATCCATTCGCTGAGAACAACTGGAAGGTGAAAACAATGAAATGCATACTGCGCAGCCAGCTAGCTGCTATAATGCCAAGCTTGTGTGAAAGCGAAACACTCGTAGAGGCACTTCATTTACCGATTCCAGAAGGAGAAATTACGTAGCATTAGCAGATATAGATACCGACTATCTACGAAATCTAGTATCTTCAATATTTATTTATTTTAATTTTATTGCTAATAATAAATTATTTTCATTCAAATTGAGTTTATTTTGTATTAGGAAATATGTATATGAAAAGCAGTTGGGAGGGAAATATGCACATTTTGTTGGCAGCAGGAAAAAGCGTTAACGGATACAGCATCAAAAAAGCATTCCCACGACAGTGTGGGGGTGTGTTCGAGCTACGTGTTAATTATCACAATTTGTAGCCTTGCTTTCTTGATGATATTTTATTGATACGCAACTTAAAATCTTCTGAAATGCTGCAGAAATTGCGCAGAAAAAATTGTATGTTGCTTTTGTTTTGCCAATGATGAGCACCTGATTGTAAAAATTTTGTTCCTCAAACGCTTGATGTAGGCAGTCTGCTTTCATAAAAGGTAACATTGCCGTATTAACTGCAGCTCGAAAACACCCTCTATTATAGTCATGTATATAACCAGAACAAGCCAGATTTACATATATGCATATGTACATATGTATATCTGGAAAAATAAATTATGCATTGAATTATAAAACAAACATTTTGAAACTGCATTTGGCCAGTAATATTTCTTGTTTTGAGTACTTCAGAAATAAATGTATGTACATATCTCTTATATTTAAATTTTTTACAGCTGTTAGGGACTGCTCAATGTAGTTGCGAACAATACTAAAGAGGGTTTATAGACCGTTAATGCAGCTTTTATTAAAGGTACTGGCGTAACCATTGCTGACTGACGTAAATAATGCTTGGTGCAATACAATTTCATGGAGCACATATAATTTATGCCGCTTTTCTAAATTCAAACGCATCCTAACATATGCGGTAAATTTCGGAACGCATAATATTAAATACCAGCATGTAAGCATTTCACGCCAAAGTTTTAAATTGCTGTTATTTTATACAATATGCTTTTTTGGGTAAGCCGTTCCACTATCGCATTTTCCAGCCAACAAATTTACCTTATAACGTTTGGTTTGTCTATCAATGTTTAGAATAGAGTAAACTTAGCTTTCGTCGTCTCCAACGCCATGGTTTCGTTTCTTAGCCGGAGCAACACATCACCGTTACACCTAGAAAAATTCAAAAAGTGCTTATATAGAGTACAAAATTGTTGATAGTTAAAAATTATAAACTTACTGCCAACCAAATATACTCTACAATTTTTACACAGATTTAATTTTTACAATTTAGCGTCGCTGTGCAATAATCCGCCTGAAAGAAAAACAATTAACACTTAGTTTAAATATAACCTATTACAAATTTTTAGGTTTCGCTTATTACTCCATTGGAAGCACAGGGCATAGAAAATCATTTGCGTCGCCATACCAACAGCAAATCGATTCTCATGCCGCTCCAAGCTGGAGGTTTATACGAAATTTTACTTTTTACTTTACTGTATTGTATAATACACTTCAAACCCAAATTATTATTACCAGTGCTATAAACAAAAAACATGCTGTTCTCACATTGGACGCAGCATGGGTAGAGGCACGTCAGCACGTCTACGCCTTTTTCGTGTGGTGCACAGCGACATTCTGAAATGAAATCAAATACTATAGTAATGCTTGGTGAAATTTTAAAAATTAATTGGTGTGACAACATGCCGGCTAAGAAAAAAATTAATTCGTAATGAAGGATTTCTTAATTGGAGAAATGTAGTACAATCAATTGAGAGCAAATATTTCTTTAATAGCCTTCTGGTAGTAACTTTTTTTTAATGAACTCTTTGTTTGCTTGCCAAAACTGGATGCCTTAATGTTGAACATAAAGATTTAAATATCAAAACAAATCCTGAACTAAAAAAAAAAAACAATAATTTAGCTCATCGCAAAAGCAGTTTTTTTCTTTGTTTTAAACAATGCAAGGAAAGACGGCAAAGGAAATCGCCTTTACAATAATTTATTGTTAATATTCTGATCAAATTCCAGCTTTAGTTGTTTCTTCTCTATTCCAGAAGGAATTTGCTTCATCTACATAACCATTCGAATGCAGTTAAGTTAATACGAACATCATAAATTACACGCGCTTGAACAATCAACGTTAAAAAAGATTGTGAAGGAAATGAGATAAAATTAAGAACAAAAACATGGCGTATATATGTACATATAATTAAATGAAAAGTAAANGTTTTAAACAATGCAAGGAAAGACGGCAAAGGAAATCGCCTTTACAATAATTTATTGTTAATATTCTGATCAAATTCCAGCTTTAGTTGTTTCTTCTCTATTCCAGAAGGAATTTGCTTCATCTACATAACCATTCGAATGCAGTTAAGTTAATACGAACATCATAAATTACACGCGCTTGAACAATCAACGTTAAAAAAGATTGTGAAAGAAATGAGATAAAATTAAGGAGAACAAAAACATGGCGTATATATGTACATATAATTAAATGAAAAGTAAAATGAAAAGCTTCTTCAATATTTTACATATTAACTAAGTTCTTTTAATATGATACAACTATGGATTTTGATGTTTTCATGATTTTGAAACACAATAATTTAGTCAACTCAATTATAACACATTCCAATTTTAAATGCTACACAAGCTAACAAAATTAGAAGTTTTTCCGTACACATCGTTTAATATTTTGTCTTCAATCTATTACTGAATGCTTGACAGATTAGCTGATAAAATCTATTGGTTTTGTACTTTGGCCAACAAAATATATTTTTTCTCAAACTAGCCGCGGATTTTAGGAAAAGTAAATTTTAATTACACTTAAACTTCAAATAAAAATGTGCTCAGTTCAATTGTCTCTGCTGCTGTTCTGTCACTCTCTTTCATGATGCGTAAAATATACGTAAAAGATGCATCAGTGTAAACAAATTTTTATCTGGTATTAATAATTGCATAATACTTAATTTATAAACTCCATATACACTGCATGATTGTAACATATAATACAATACTAGCAGCATTTTAGCAAAGAATTACATTGTGTATATGCCTGGTGCCGGCGCGTCGAATTTTCTCAACTCAATTTAAAACAGGACACACTTTCATGAAGTGGTCGCTTACATCTTCTCTTGAATAAAAGGATGTGTTAATGCTTGATTCAAAGAAATTCTTTTCGATGGATCCAGCGCAAATATATTATCCAATAAATCCTTAAGTTGTGTTACTTTTCGGTGTTGATCATCTGGTAAATTCTGATCAGCAATAAGTTCCTGTTGTAGATTTCGGTAGGTTTAATTACAGGCATAACCACGATTTTTTCCTAAAAAAATATTTATAGTTTTTTAGTAAAAATATGGTAGCACCATAATCAACTGCAATAATTACCCTTTCCGTAATTTTGTCAATCTCATGATAAAGAAAGTTGCAGCTCTGATCAAAGTGTTGATCTTTGAATTGACCTTTCCGAATAATACGATTTGGAATTTTTCCTAACGATGAAAATATAATAAAAATTAATTAAAAACAGATTCTCCCATAACAAATTGCTTGATAATCAGCATTTTAGGTCATATCTGAGGGATATGTAATTGATTATTAGTCTCCACCTTTTAAGTCCATGAAGAATTTCAGCATTTGGTTATTGCTCTTTCCACTAAACAGAATTTTTCCAGTGTATAGCTCATAGATTGTACAACCAGCAGACCACATATCAATTCCGTAATCGTAAGTAATGCCTAATATGATTTCGGGCGCACGATAGAAACGTGATATTAAATATGGTGTTATTTCGTTGTCGTTAATAGCTGAAGCAGAACCGAAATCACATAACTTTAAACATAAATTATTATCATTCACAAGAATGTTGTCGGGTTTAATGTCTGCATGAAGTATGCCGGTCTTTTTAAGCAACTTAAGTGCCAGAAAAGCTGTTGCGTATAGCTGCGCACTGCTTTGATGTGTAAGCCAACATTTTTACCATACTTTTTAAGCACTTCCCGAAGGTTCATAGATAGCGGCTCGAACACCATGCAAAGATGCTAAAAGAGACGACGTATGAATTTTCAAATTAATTCTTCCCTCTTTAACTCAACGCGGTACCCACCTGCTTATGAAAAAAATGTCTGAAAAGTCGTAAGCAATGGAATCTATCCTCTGGATCTGCGTCATTCAATTTTTTTAAGATCTCCAATTCACGCAGTCCCGTTTTATGCCTGATAAATTTACGTTTAACAAAATTTCCTGGATAAGAAATATACATTTTTTATCTTACATTATCTCGTTGTTGCGTATAATTTTTACAGCAACATTTGCATTCCCACGTGCTTGATCACGAGCTCTCACTACATTACTAAATACTCCCTGGCCTGTATATCCACTCACAACATAACGGTTGTCAAGACTTTCCCCAATACGTACACGATAATATCCTTCCGCATCATCCCAGTTGTCTGTCAGTGCAGGATTTTCATTTTGTGTTTTATTCAGCACTATTGCATTAGGAGACTGGAAAATATAAAATGCATTCGCTTAATTTCCCTTCAAGTGATTACTATGCGAAGATTGACAGTTACGAGCCAACGACTCACATCGAAATTCGAGTCTACGTCTTGATCGGCAAACATATCCCATTCCGGTCGCTTTTCCCTGGCACCACCTTTAGTTTTCTTATCGTCGTCGAGGTCATTTTCCTCCTCTCGGCTGACCTGTATTGATGACTTCGGTTGGGTATTATTCGGCAAAGGCGCGATGTCTTGGATTCTCGGTTCTTCTGGAGAAGGGATTCGTTCTCTTCTAGGTTGCGAGGATTTGCTTGGTGGAGATGATTCTGTTTTTCCTCCTAGTTTCTGAAATTGTAAAAATGTTTAATAACGTAAAATATCTGATATATGTATACACAAGTTTTCATACTTTTAATAGTTCTTCACGTTGCTTTCGACGCATTTCAATTATTTTTTCTTCTTCGTCTTCGTCTTCGTTGATGTCAATATCCAAATGACCATCATCTTCGCTGCTTGATTCTCTTACTTCAGCTTTTTGCCCTTCGCTTAATGAGCCCCGGTAGCGATCCTTTTCACGATCGCGCCCACGCTCTTCTCGCCATCCATCTCTTTCGTTTTTTCCAGTGCGCTGACGTTCTCGCTCTNTTCACGTTGCTTTCGACGCATTTCAATTATTTTTTCTTCTTCGTCTTCGTCTTCGTTGATGTCAATATCCAAATGACCATCATCTTCGCTGCTCGATTCTCTTATTTCAGCTTTTTGCCCTTCGCTTAATGAGCCCCGGTAGCGGTCCTTTTCACGATCGCGCCCACGCTCTTCTCCTCGCCATCCATCTCTTTCGTTTTTTCCAGTGCGCTGACGTTCTCGCTCTATCCGACGCCGATCCGATTCTACTTTACTTCGGCTATGTGAACGCATCCGGCGGTCTCGATCACGGTCACGATCACGTTCCCGTTCTCTTCCGCGAGAGTTACCAAAAGAGCCAACCCTACTACGATCTTGCGCCCTCAATCGGTCCTCTCGCGAACGTCGATCACGATCGCGACTATTTTCTCTCTCGCGTTCCTTATCTCGATTTATTTCCAAACGAAGATCTTCTTTTTGACGGTTTTGATCATGCAATCCTCGTCGCTGCCTACCTCGATTGTGACTATCGTCGCGACTTCGAAGGCTGTTGGCCTCTGAATCTCGTCGTTGCGATCGACTACGGCTAGNCTCTCGCGTTCCTTATCTCGATTTATTTCCAAACGAAGATCTTCTTTTTGACGGTTTTGATCATGCAATCCTCGTCGCTGCCTACCTCGATTGTGACTACCGTCGCGACTTCGAAGGCTGTTGGCCTCTGAATCTCGTCGTTGCGATCGACTACGGCTAGTACTACGCTTGGAAAGATTTGTGTGCTGATCTCGGGAACTGTGTCTACGTGTATGTTGCGCTTCCGGTGCTGAATGACGATGATGGTGGTGGTAATGCTCTGCCGATGACTTTCTGTGCGGTGATGGTAGGCGCTCATCTTTTGATCTGTGTGATATACGCGTTGTTTTTCGCTTCAATTCAGGAGTTCGGTTTCCACCGCTAGAATCATCCAATAATATAACATCGGGTTCATTTGAAATCTGTTTTTTACTTATTTTACTAATAACATTTTTACTGATTGACGAAGATGATGACAACGAACGCTTTTTAGCTGAGTTGTCAGTTCCACCTCTGGATATATCCTCATAAGCAGTGACTTTTACCGTTTCGCAATGAAGGTTTACAATTGGTATTTTATTGGAAACGCTGTCT